GAAATGAAACACATTTTGTAAGATTGAATTCTAAATAAGAACTTTGGGGAATACTTTAACCTATTTATTTATCTTACATTTCCTTTTGTGTTACGCACAGTCGATATATGATAAAAATCAATGTGTTAAATTTTTTGTTAACAACTGATAATAATTAAAATAGTTGTGTTAAGCATTGGCAATGGCGGCTTCAGTCTCTACTCCTGGCTCTATATTGATGGAAGTAATTTACTTAATCTCGGATAAACTGTGAAAATTAATGATCACTTGGGGAGTCTCACCTGGAAAACATCCCACGTCTTCGGCACAAGGAATTTTTCTCATGATGATTCTCAGAGTCTTCGTAGAGGTTCTTTTCCTTTGTGCCTCTAATCAAGTCTACGCACACTTTCTGCAGGGGTTTTTCCTTTGCAGCTGGTTAGTATGACTCTAATCCGCAAATCACCTGCTCTGGCTCTGTGACTGACCTGTTCTTGGGTGAGAGTTAACTGCCAGGAGTAAGGGGCTGCTAGGTCTTTCAATCATTATAAAATAAAATTGCTAAGTGATACAAAAACACTGTGTCTTAGTTTAATTGATGGCATCCCTTCCCCACTTTTGAGTGGTGCTAAGACACAGGTGCATCTTGTACTCAGTGACATCTCAGATTTGATGAAATATGGTAGCTTCAGTTTTGGAGGAGTGTGAGTCAGGGAGCCACTTAGACATAGAAGTACATGAGGTCATTATGTTATTGTTGTGTATTTTCATTTTGAACTCAGTCTTATAGGAGGCTGACTCTATCAATGGATCTAATTATCTCTTAGGTTTCTGCATTTTTTTTTTCCATATGCTCTTTAGCTGGATGTTCCTAATTGTACTTACTTTTGAAGCCAGGGTATAGAATTTTACTATAGTCTTTATTAAATTTCATTTTATGGGTTCTGGTCTGTTATTCCCATCCGCTAAGATCATTCTGAAGCACGATTCTCTCATTTACCATACTAACTATCCCTCCTTCTAGCTTTCTGCCATCTGTAAATTTGATAAGCCCAACTTCTATACCTTTATCCAAGTCACTAATAAAAATGTGGAGCACCTCTGGGAAAATTTTGTAGACCCATTAGTGAACCCCTTAGATTGGCATAAGTCCACAGATCAGCTCTGTCTGGATGGCGTTTTACTCAGTTGTGATTATATCTGGAATACAGTGCAGTTGTTAGGTACCCAGGCTTTGCTCTCTGAGCAGACCCCTCAAATTCTAACTCCACCATAGCCCAGCTATAGGACACTGGGTGAATTACCTGATGAATCTCTGCTTAGTTTCCTCACCTGTAAAATAGGACGATTATTTTTGCTCTTTGGGGGATGGGTTGAAGATTAAATGAAGTAATACTCACGAAACACTTAGCACAGTTCCTGACATATACTCGGCTCTCAATAAATATTAATGGTTAGTCCTATCAATTTTCTCAGATTTCTTCACCTTGCCCAATGCCTATCAAAAGACTGTCAAATGCCTAATGACCCAGCATAAGCTAAGTTCATCATTCTACCGTTCTAGCAGACTTATTGAAAAAAGAAATGAGGTCAGTTTAGTATGTGAAGTTTCTTATTTATAATATATAACTTGAATATTTTCAACAAGGGGTTGATGCAACTTAAAATACAAGATACATACACATTAATTGTGTGACTCCAGGCTGAAGCTTAATGATCAACGCTCCATTTTTAAGTGCTTACAAACACTGTTTGTTAACTCTTGTCAAAAGTTTGTTAGAAATCCATATAAAAATGACAGTTCTATATTTTCTTGAATCTCTCTTTTTACCACGCAAAGGCAACCAATATTTGCCTACCTCTAAGCTTCTAGTATTTCTGCCATTCTCAATGATTTCTTAAAGACTGATGTTGATATTTATATTATATTTGCAAGTTATTTCATTATCCTGGATGTATTTCATAGGTTTTACAGAATTAGACTCATTTGAAGTACCTGGTACTCTCTTACATCACCTCATTTATCTTTGGCTTCATTTCCTCATAGATTGTTGGTTCATTCTTAAAAGTGGTGGTTTTAAATCTTCAGAGGACATAAGAATCTCTTGGAGGAGGCAGATCTTGTTAAAAATGCATGTTCCCAGACTGCTCTCAGAGATTCAGGCTTAATAAATTTAAAATGGGGTCTGGGAATATACATTTTGACAAACACCCTAATTCTGATTCAGCACCCTGTGAGAAACACTTTATATAGAAGAAAATGATGGGGAATAATTTGGTATTAATCTTTTCTTATAATCTGTTAGCATTACATATCTCTCCCAAGAAATATATCCTAGTCTTACTTGGTTGGTCTTTTTGGTCCAAACATAGCTTATAAAAAGCCCTTTTGTTGAGTATTTCACAAACCTCAGATTATTCTGGGCTTTGACCTTTCTGACACCACTCACAAAGCTTATGCCTTTTAAAAATAATTGCTCTTGGCTATGGACCATTTCTGTCATCGTTAGTATGAGCGCATGGAGTGCTCTCTGTGCAACCCTACCTTGGCTTCTTCAGATGCCCACAGCCCAGTAGCCTATACACTGTGGCATTCGGCCAGATTCGCTGATAATGAGATGAAGGCTGGGGACTAGAGAGAGTAGAGCTATATGGGCTACTTCTCAGGATACCTTTATGAAATCGCAAACAAACAAAAAGCCTGCACTTTACACACCGCTTGACATATAATAGTCATTCAATAAATATTTGTTGCACTAAGCCAAGGATAACAAATATCTGACAGGCCTGCCAACACTCCTTATTCTGTATTGGGCAGACATTGCTAATGGATCTTAGAGCTCTTTTCCTCCTGAGCCTGGAAGCAAGTTCAATATTCTTCAAAACATGACTTTCCATCAAATTAACCAGAACTGGTTTGCAAAATAAAATCTATTTGCCAATTCTAAATAAATAGAAACCTTTTTCTCCTACAGTTCAGTTAACTCCATTTGTGAAATTTTAAAAAAGAAAAAACAAATATAAAATAAGACTTAAAAAGTCAAGTTGGTATGATAAATACTATGGGAAAAATACAGGGAATTACACTGAAAGGATATGGCATAGCCAGCTTCTCACAATAAGCAGGCGTCTATGTTTTCCAGCATTTTAGATTCTAGAATGGTACTAACGACATAATAATGAGAATGATACTAAAACTCAGCATCTCATCTTATGAGATTAGCAAAGTCTGAAACCTTTCAAATAATGATTCGAATACAATAGAAACAGGGCCCACATTTACATTTCAGTTGAATCCTAAATAGTGTGTAAGTTGAGAGTCCTGGCTTCTAACATATATCAGGAGGCAGGGATGACATAATTTGTGCTTAAAGGGAGATAAATAAAAGCAGGGCTGTCTGGGGAGCATTTTCTTTCCTCCTGATGTAAGGATGAGGCACGAGAACTGGATGTTAAACCAAGCTGCATTCAGAGTCTGTGCTGCAGGAAACCCACAGAACAAAGGAAGATTCTGCTGGGATTACTAACAACCATTTACCCATACCGAGAAAGGAAAACAGAGTTTTTAAGTCATACTCTACATAAAATAAACCCAACCATTCATTCCCTGCTTCCAAGCCATAGGGAACCTAGCTATCAGAGGCTGGGATGCTAGCATGCCTTTAACGCTGCATGCCCTGCCTTTCACCCTACATACCCATACCATTAAAGGAAAGTAGGTAAACAAAGCCTTTAGAAGTCTGTAATTCACAGAAACTGAGAATGATATATAAACTGACTCCCTGAACACTCTGGGGTCTCTCTCAGTCCCTATCAGTCTCTCTTATTCTGTCTATAGAGCGTTATTCCTTTTCTAATAAACTTTCCTTTTGTCTAACTCTGGCATGCACTTGAATTCTTTCCTGTGCTCAGTCAAGAACCCTCCCTCTCTCAGAGCAGGACTTCAGTCCCCACTCAGGGAGATTTGCCCCATCCTGCATCACTCCCACTTCCTTACCTCCCTCTCCATACACCATTTGAATCCTGATTATTATCTATCACTTAACAATCTTGACAGTTCCATTTTGTACTGATAAAAGTTCTCTTTTGTGTATCTACATAACTTACCTGAAGTGGGCTGCTCTGAAGTAAAGCCAGACTCCTCTGACTCTTTCAAACATGGCCACTGTAGTTGTTTTCTTTTAAGTTTCTAGTTTAACTCCTAGATTGAAGTCTAAAGGGCTTAAAGGTATATTCTGAGCACTTATAAGCTCTGAATTTTCTGGAGTCAGTCTCAGAGGGAAATTGAGTTTTAAGCGGCTATAGGATGGAAATGCTTATTTATTGGATACCGCTGATGAGTAAGATTCTCCAAATAAAGAAAAATTTAATCCCTTATAAATATAGAAAATGGATTAAAAACATTACATCCCTCTCTGCTTCAGAAACAGCCTTACTGGTTTGAAGCTGCGTAGGATCAGCACCAAGAGCACAGATGTTTGTTCGCTATTCTGTGGAGAAGAGCAGTGAGCCTCCCATGAGCTGTTGAGAGTATTAGTCTAAAGATCTCCAATGTACCTCTTCTTGAGTTTTTAGGCAGATTTTTATAGCCTCGTCTACTCTCTTCTCGTGGAGCTGTCAGATGCCATTCCTGGCTGTTATAATAAACCCTCCTTTCAAAATGCATGTTTTCTTTTTAAGTTAGCTTCTAACGGTTTATGGGCTAGAAAACTGGAGAATGAAGTTTCTTTGAATTGTGTATAAAATAAGAGTTAATAAGCTATGTTATTAAGGATGAGGTCTTAGAGATTTTCTGATGAATAAAGTACTTTAAATTAGGTGACGAAACTTTTGCCATCTAATTAGACTATGTAGAGTCATTGTATAATTACTCTTGGATTCTTGGGTGGTTGAGTTTGTTGAAAAAGTAATTTTTGGATAATGTTGCAATTTTAACATAATTTAGTAGTAATCAGAAAATGAAATTTTTTAAAAAACTTTTTTTTTTTTAAATTTTTATTAACATTTGTTTGATGCTAAATTTACTCCTGGGCCATAAGTTTTTGTTTGTTCAGTTTCTTCTGGGATATCTTTTTCTTCTGTGTGACCTGCTCTTCCGGTTTAGGAAAAATTTATGCTTTTTCAGTGAGGATCATCTCAGTGCGGCAGGGAGAGCTCATGTAGGGGTTAATCCACCTACGAGCTCTGTCAGTTCTGCGAGTCATCTTGGGAGCTTTGCTCTGGATGTGTTCAATGACCAGAGAATCTACATTTAAACCCTTAAGTTCAGCTTTACTCTTTGCATTTTCAATCATGTACAGCAAAAATTCAGCACTCTTTTTGGGCCACTGACCCTGCAATCAGCCCCACTGTTTGGCCTGGCCACACCTACCAACTCCACCATGGTAACGACGGAATGGCACACATTGCTCCTGTAAAGTGACATCCTTCAGATACTTGGTATGCACACCCTTGATGGCCTGGGCAGTTTCACAGGTGTTCTTAAAGTGAACACGAAGGTTTGAACCTCTTGATTTGCATAATTTTGTTGGGTTTTCTGGGTCAAGTGAATAGTGAATCACTTTCAGAGTTTACCTCGGGCCACTTACAGGAAGAACTTAAAAAACATTTCTTAGAAAATTTCAGATATAGTCCTGAAAAGTTTTATGCAATTTAATTTTATGGGAACCTTGCAATAATTCTTTTCCTGAAGTAAAGAAGACTTTAAAAATATGTGCTTGCTTTTGCACATGATAGCTTGCTTAGAGCAAGCAGGTCATGTTGGTTTTTAGTTTCTAAGTACACAGTTTACCCAAATCTAGGAAGATCAGGGAAGAACTTCCATTTCCAGGAATAAGGCAGATTAGGGATCAAACCAATCTCCCACTAAAAACAACCAAAAATACTAAATTTTCTTAAAACATCAAAGACTTGACAAAACAGTAAGAAACTAAAGTCCAAAATCAAAGAGAAGACAAGATCTCTGAAAGTTAAGTGACATCCTAAAGCTGTTTTTGAACTGAGAGCATTTGCCAATTTGGGTAAACTTGAATTTTGGTTCTGAGGGTTTCTCAGGATAGGGGGACAGAATCAAAGCCCAGGGCCCACCTCTTCCCTCACTAATATAGGTCAAACCCTCAGTGCAAGCATGAAACAAAAGTAAATGTGCCTCTACCCTCAGGCCCAAGAAACTATAGGGAAAGTTGCCCTTATGCTGAGCAGAGCAAGACACATGGTAATGGTAGAGACCTGCTTTGAGAAGTTATAACTGCAAGTTAGCACTTTCACAGCTTCCAAATCTATATTGCTTTGGTGGTCAAAATACATAAATAAACAACAACAAAAAACTATGAAACCACAACCCCCCCCCCCCCCGCAAGTTGTAAATTCAATTTAAAGTGATTTCATTTAAAATACCCCTCTGTGCCTAGCAAGGACAAAGGAGAGTTCTCTTTGAAGGAAATTAGTGTCATCCAGTCTTCAAAGAATCACCCTGAATAAATTTTTAAGGAAAATAAGCAGCATAAAGTAAAAAAATAACTAAGCCTACAATGACGTAAACCATCAAGAATGAAAATAGAGTTTATAAAAGCAACTATGCTTACTAAATTCAAAGAAAAAAATAAAAAAAAATGTAAAGAAATGAAACAATAAAAAGTAACCTAGCAGGTTTTAAAAAGTACCAAATAGAACTTATCGAAATAAAAAATACAATAACCAAAATTAGAAACTCAGTAAGCACTTTCGACACAACTGAAGAGAGAATCAGAAGATTGAAATATAGATCAGAAAAAGTAATTCAGTGGTTATTCAGTGTATAGTACAGAGACACAACAATATTGCAAATACAAAAGAAAGGTTAAGAGACAGAGGGAACAGAGTGAAAATGTCTAGCATTCATTTAACGATTCTCAGAAGGAGAGGAAAAAAGGGCTTAGATAAAGATAATACTTGAAGAAATAATGGCTAAGAATTTTTCAGAACCGGTCAAAGACATCAATCCACAGATTCAAAAATAATAAGCAGGGAAAATAAAAAGAAATCTATACCTACATTTATCATTGTGAAACTTTAACAAACCAAAGACAAACAAGGTACCAAATGAACCAGAGAAAAAGATGATTCTCAAAGTAATGACAACTAGATAATAACAGAATTGTCTATACTAACAATGAAAGTAATGAAAGAAACCAGAATCCAGTGGAATAAAACCATCGATACACTTAAATAATTTCCAACCTAGAATTCTACACCCAGCAAAAGTATTTTTCAAGAACGAGACTAAAATAAAGTCATTTTTAGATAGATCGAAGCAGAGAAAGTTTGTCACCAGAATACTCTAATTTAAAACATTTCCTTTAAATAGAAAAGTGATCTCACAAGGAAGACCTGAGATAGAAGAAGAAAGAGCAGATAGAAAAGCAAAGAAAGTTATAAATATATAGATACATCTAAGCGAACACTAACTGTTTTATAATAATATCTTGAAGGGTAAAACTTACAACAATAAAACAAGATAAAATTAAAATATCTGATAAAAGGAACATGTCAGGAAGGGTAAATGGAATTAAAATGTTTTAAGGTCTTTGAACTATGTGGGAGAAGAGTAAAGACATTAATTAATTTTAGAATTTAAGTTAAGGATGCATATTAATATCCAAAATAATCACTAAAAATAGAGAGTATATAATTTCCACACTAGTAGAAGGAAAATAATGGAATAATTTAAAAAACTTTTTAAAACAATCCAAGAAGGCAACAAAGGAAAGAAAAGGTAACACATAATAGACGAGACAAATATAAATTAGATGATGTTTTAAAAAAAGGATAAAAATTGTATGATTATATCAATGGATGCAGGAAATGTTTGACAAAATCCAGGATCCATTTATGATAAAAACTCTCAGCAAAGTGGAATATAGAGAACATACTTCAAAATAGTAAAAGCCATATATGACAAACCCATAGCTAACATCATACTCAATGGGGAATAGCTAAAAGTGTTTTCCTTAAGATCACTTTCATCACTTTTATTCATCAAAGTACTAGAGTCCTAGCCACAGCAGTCAGACAAAAATAAATAAATAAATAGATAGATAAATAAATAAATAAATAATAAATAAATAAATAAGTGAAAGAAAATAAAAGGCGTCCAATTGGAAAGGAAGAAGTAAAACTGTCATTGTTTGCAGTTGGAATAATACTACATAGAGAGAACCCTAAAGATTCCACCAAAAAACTGTTGCAACTGATAAATGAATTCAGTCAAGTAGCAAGATAAAAAAATTAATATTCCAGAATCAACTGCATTTTTATACACCAATAATGAACTATCAGAGGAAATTAAGGAAACAATCTCATTTACAATTGCATCCACAAAAAGTACCTAGGAATAAATTTAACCAAGAAGATAAAAGACCTGTACTTGAAAAATTATAAGACATTGAAGAAAGAAATTGAAGAAGATACAAATAAATGGAAGCATATACTGTGCTCATGGATAGGAAAAATTAACATCTTTAAAATGTCCATTCCACTCAAAGCAATCCATTGATTTAATGAAATCCCTAAGAAAACACTAGCGGCATTTTTCACAGAACTAGAACAAATAATTCTAAAATTTATATAGATCCACAACAGACCCCAAATAGCCACAGCAATCTTGAAAAGAAGAACAAAGTTGGAGATATCATGCTCCCTAACATCAAACTATACTACAAGACCATAGTGATCAAAACAGCATGGTACTGGCATAAAAACAGACGTGTAGATCAATAGGACAAAATAGAGAGCCCCCAAATAAACCCACACTTATATGGTCAGTTAATCTATGACAAAGGAGGCAAGAATATACAATGGGGTAAAGACAGTCTACTCAATAAAAGGTATTGGGAAAACTGGACTGATACATGAAAAACTGAAACTAGATCACCTTCTTACACCATATACAGGAATAAACTCAAAATGGATTAAAGACTTAAGTGTAGCACTAAAACCATAAAATTCCTGCATGAAAACATAGGCAGTAAACTCTTTGATATTGGTCTTATAAATATATTTTTAAATGTTTCTCCTCAGGCAAGAACAACAAAATAAAAAATAAACAAATGGATCTATATTAGACGAAAAAGCTTTTGCATAGTGAAGGAAACCATCAACAAAACAAAAAGGCAATCTACATAATGAGGGTAGATATTTGCAAATGATATATCAGATAAGGTATTAATATCCAAAATACATAAAGAACTTACACAATTCGACATAAAAAAAAACAAATAATTCAATTTAAAAATGGACAGAAGACCTGAACAGACATTTCATCAAAAAAGATATGCAGATGATGAACAGATACATAACAAGGTGCTCAGCTTCACTAATCAACAGGGAAATGCAGGTAAAAACCACAATGAGATATTACCTCACACCCGTTAGAATAGCTATTATCAAAAAGACAGGAAACAGCGAGTTTCCTGGGGATGTGGAGAAAAGAGAACCTTCACACACTGTTGGTGGGATTGCAAATTGGTACAGCCACTGTGGAAAATGATTTGGAGATTCCTCAAAAATTTTAAATTAGAACTACCTATGACCCAGCAATTGCACGTCTGGGCATTTATTCAAAGAAAACCAAAACTCAAAAAAATTTCAAAAAGATATATGCACCCCTATGTTCATTACAGCACTATTTACAATAGCCAAGATGTGGAAGCAACCTAAGTGTCTATCAATAGACAACTGGTTAAAGAAAAAGTGGTGCATATATACAATGGAATATTCCTTAGCCATAAAAAAGAAAAAGAATGAAATTTACCATATGTGACAACATGGGTGAACCTAGAAGGTACTGTGATGAGTGAAATAAGTCAGACAGTGAAAGGCAAATACCATATGATTTCACTTATATGTGGAATCTAAAGATCAAATAAACAAACAAAACAGAAACAGAGTCATAGATACAGATAAGAAACTGATGGTTGCCAGATGGGAGGGGGGGTTGGAGATCTGGATAAAAAAAGGTGAAGGGATTAAAAAGTACAAATTGGGAGTTATGAAGCAGTCATAGAAATGTAAAGTACAGCATACAAAATATAGTCAATAATATTGTAATAATTATGGATGGTGCCAGGTGGTACTAGATATATTGGGGGATTCACTTCGTTAGTTATGTAAATGTCTAACCACTACGTAAAAAAATTTTTTGAACAATCCAAGAAGGCAAAAAAAGAAAGAAAAGGTAACACATAATAGATAAGACAAATATAAATGAGATGGTGGTTTAAACTTCAATATATAAATAATTTTATTAAATGTAAGTTTATTGTATGAGCAAAAGAATATATACAATATGATTCCATATATTTAAAGTTAAAAAACAGACATAACTAAAGGAAATTATTTAGGGGTTGTGTTAAGAGTATTGATTGTTCACCCTTGTGATCTCATGGGTGACGAGGAGCTGTAGCTCTCTGTTGCTACCCAGCATCACAAGAGAGTATCGTACCACGTATCACTATCTCAGAAAAAGCTCAAAGTTCAAAATTCAGAGTATTGTTTATACTGAATGCCTATCACTTTTATACA